TTAACCTATTTTTTTATTTCATGATATCCAAAGTATAAACCACTGTAAATGTGTCAACTATAGATTTACAAATAAGTGTAGGTAGGTACTCATTATTGTATAATATGTTAAATTTAAAAAAAACAAGCTATGTTTGTCAATTATGTTGTATGCATTAGGTACCTATTGGATAGATAATCAAAGAATGAAAGAGCACTTTATGACTAAGAATAAACATTTAGTTAAACCTAAAATGAAAATATTTTAGAATATATTTGAAAAACTAAAAACCATAAGAGGACTTTTTAATAAAATATATCAAAACCACGTAAAGGTCTCCTTATTGATTCTAAGTGTTACTTTTATTTGCGATTTGCATTGTAAAAAACCACACACTATCACCGAAACTCCAGTTTTATCAACTATGGAAGCAATATTTTAAGTTGAAATGTACTTATTAATGACAATTGACATAACTCCATATATTTCTTTTAGTTATAGATAGTATTGTCTTGCGTAAGCCATGTACTGTCTTTAAGTACAGTATATTGTCATATTGATATCGACGTATCATCAGTTTTTACATATTTTGTTAATTATTCTTTATTCATTCTAAATACTTATTTTCTTTTACATAGCTTAAAAATGACGTTTTTGATATGTTTATCTAATTACACATTTTGTATAGTTTTTTTTTTTGATTGTTTATGTATTTACTTGCTTAAACATTTATTGTCTTACTAATACTGACTTAGCTTATGTTGTTTTTTTAAATTTTTTTCATTTATGTTCTGCTTTAACATGTTTAACAAGTTTATCATTATATATTTTTGTAAATGTGCTAACTTATGCTAACTCAGATAGGTAACTTTAATTTTCTACATTTTATTTTTTTTGTACTAATTATATATATTTGCATTAAAATGTATTTTCTTACTTATACCATAGATTAAATATACTATTATAGATAACCCACGCTATGGAAAAACACGGCAACCAGATATGCGGACGTTTTAAACCCCGGCGGAGTATTACTAATCACGGAATAAGATATCTTAGTCCGTGGTACTAATGGATCCCCATAGGATCGCTACAAATTCTATAGATTTTGCATATGCGCGATGCATATGCGTCAATGCAGAGCGCCGCTAACATGTTAGTTGAAAAAGTAACAAACTTGTGCTACTGAAATAGATTATTTACAAACAAGTTAATAACTATGATTATTTGTATTAATTGTAAAATTCACATCGATACATTTTAGCAAGTGACGACAGAGAATAAAATAGGTATTATAATAATTATGCATTTATGCAATCACCTATAGATTTATCTTTATTAAGTATAGTTAGTTAAAATCCAAAACAACATTATTATTTGTTATATAAAAAGGGCAATGAGAGTACTTAATTTTATTTTATAAAACAAGTGAAAATGTTACATAATTATAAATTCTCACAATTATTGGTGAAGTAGTAAAAAAAAATTTCTTTACAATTTTTTAAATATAATAATAGCTAAAGTCGTATAGAAAAATATAATAACTTAAAAGCTTATACAATATTTTACATTTTATAAAATACGGGCAAAAGTGTTAAAAATACCTTTATATTAAGATCTTCATAAGAAGTTCTAAGGACAATATTAATAATTAATATTATCTTTAAGTTATAACTATCAACAATTTACAATACCGTACAAATTAAATATTTTTTTTTTTGATAAAATATTTTAACCATATGGGTAAATATTTTTTATTTTTTAAAAATTTAAAGTAAAAAAAATAATGCATCGTAAAATCATGAAATTCGCAATAACAAACACTGAAAAAAAAAGAAAACCTAACCGATCAAAACCAAAAAATATTACAATTAATACAACTAATACGCACATATATATATATATACTATTTTATTATTTACGTACATGTCAACTGTTGAATTAGGTACGTAGGCTTATGTTAAGTTTAGAAATTTTTCAAAATATTTAATATATTCACTGCATCTACACTAGAACGTCCTTTCAAATGTTTAGATGCCCAATTAAAATGCCTTAACAACTTAGAAATTATTAATTTTTGGACAATATAATCAATTCGTTGATCACAGTTTGAATCAAAATTTAAATCAGAAATCAATTCTTTTTTTTATTTTTAGTTGGATGGTTGCATACAATCTTCTTTTATGAAGATTTAGTTCTACAAAATCTTTTAAACAATTTTGTGCTGTAGACACAAAGTTGATAAATAAATCAGAAGGCTTTTTGAGACTACTTCTTTCAATATCGGCACTTTCAAATTGTTTGTAAAAAAATAAATATTCTTGGTCATCAAACAAAACATTGTCACTTTTCAAAATTATTCATTCGCATTTAGAGCATTTAAATTGATCGGTACATTTTTTGGCCAAATATCCTGCAAAATATGCATTTGAACAGGTTTCCCATGTTATTTTGTCTTCTACTTTACGATACAAATGAGTCTAAAACTGATTCAACTAAGGTCGTATCGGTGTAAGGTGTAGAAGTCATAGCGTCCTGTATACTATAGAATCAAATAAATTGTAGTCAAAATCATTTTCACCTTTTGAGGAATTAGTGGCTTTCATTAGATTGTGTTTTGCTTGAAACCGAAATTATGTTCTAAAAGTTCGAGCAGTTGGATTTCTGTTGAAACCTCCAAGCTGTCGAAAACCCGAAAAAGTATTTTTTATGTCATCTTGGTTTAAACGGAAACGGCTGGTAAGAAGATGTTTAAATCCTAAATTGTTTTGTGGTGTAAAAACCATCATTATACGTTTATGCTCCATACCATGGCATCGAAACACGGACAACTTTACCATATATTTTTATAGTTTTATAGATTTTATTAACTCCAGCTGTGCACACCATTTTTTAGCTTTCGTTAAACAGTTAAGTATTTAGGGTTTGTCGTATGCCATGGCAGTTTTTGATTTTATTTGACCTGTAGCAATGCATGTTTTTAAAACTGCAGCTGCTACCGAATTACTAAAGACTCGAAGAGCAAGCTTACAATTCATTTTTTGAAATGGGTTGGGGTTCATATGACTGTCAGTTAATTTTAAAAGGGCTCTAGTGCTCTACTAGTATTACTTGATTTATCAGTATTATAAGCCAACTAAATATCTGAAAAAGAAACTTCTTGTCCGTTAAATTTAAAATTATATTTCAAAAAATTGTTTCTAAAATTTTTAAAAATATTTGGTAAGTACATCAAAAATTGAAAAAATAGTTTTACCTTTAATTTTAACAAATGATTTTTCTTTGCAACAATCTAATTGCTTTAGAGCTGAACCTGTTTTTGACCCCTGATCACAAACGAGTGCCACAATATTAAAACCTATCTTTGTACATTTTTTGATTACATCTACAATTAAATCGTTTAATATTGAACTACTCATTGATGAACCTGATAAAAAATAAGCCAATGGTAATTTCTAATTACTATAAAGTTTTCGAACAACATTGGCCTGCGTAGCCAATGCATTCGTTCTACCTTTATGTCCTAAATCTTCAAATCCTTCAACCATATCTAAATACTTAGAATATTCTAAAAATGATTTTATTTTCATTTCATCAAATATTAAAACACATCTTCTGACATTGTATTCAACTTAATTTGCTCTAACCAGAGTGAATTAAAACCGGGAAAAAATTCAGACTTCCCTATCCACCTACGTAGGTACTAGGTACGTATCGTAGTTCCACCTGGTAAAAGTATTAGTTGGTTATTTCTAAGAAATCTGTATGTAGCTGGTGATTTAAAGTATACATTTATAGCAACATTTTTTTCAGTTAGTATCTAGGGTTATCTTGAATTACGTTTATGAAGCATTTTCACATCTGCTATTAATTTTTATCCTGAAATAGAAAATGTAAAATTATTTTTATATAATATGACAAACTTGTATTTTTTTTCCTAATTTACTTACAGTAGATGAATTTTTTTTCTAACAACATATTTTTTTTCGAATGAGGTATTCGAGATGTTTTGTTTTTACTTTTTTGGGCTTTGATCGTTAGGAAAAATAATTTTTTTTTTCTTTGTTTTTGCGGCATTCTAGAGTAATAGCAGGTAACGACATATCTATAAATGATTTGGTAATTGAACTTGTTGACGAGGAAAATTCATAAGTTAAAATTGGCGGAGACCGTGATGTATTAATGTAGCTGAAAGACGAGGAAACTCCATAGGTATTCTTGGACATTTTTTTTTTTGTAAATTTTAGTTGGTGTTTTACATGTAAATTTGGTGACTCGGAGTCTTCAAATTCGTTTAAAGATGAAATTGGTACCTATACATGTTCCATATCAACTGGTAATTCAGTAAAATCGTACTTCATTGGAACTGCTTTTTGTTTTAGCCTTTGTTGTGTTTAAATATTATTAAAATCCATGGGCTTAGAATATAAATTACATACGTGGTGGTTATTCAGTTGTTTCAACGTTAAATCCGCCAATTTAATATTTCTTACAGAAATACCTATATAAAAAATAAGACTACAATTTTCAATTTTGTTCATAAGTGTTTTTGCAATAAAACCACTCAGTAAACCATATTCGTTGAACGCTCAAACGCATATTTTTAAATTAATTTTTAACGCGATTTTTGTTAATGGCACAAAAATCTTCTTAATCATTTAATTAAAATTTAACCTAACCAATAAGTCAAAATTTAAAAATCTGAGAGTATAGCTAAAACTCAAAAAGTTGATTCGAAAATTCCAAGGAATTGTTCAAGACAAATAAATCGTGCAAATTATCAAACAAATAGTACAGAAGAATATTATAAATTAGCCATATTTATTCCATTATTAGATAATGTCATTAATGATTTAAAAGCACGTTTTTCACAAAAAACACTAGAGTGCTTCAATCTTTCATATATACTTCCTAACAAGTTTATAAATGAAAATACAACTTCATATTCATTAAATAAATCAGAAATTATCATAAAAGCATTAGCAGAGGATTTTCAAGCAATTATTTCAAATGATAAAGACATGGTATTTACTTTATTACGTTCAGAGTTTAGATTATGGAAACAAAAATGGAACCGTGAAAAACTTGAAAACATTTTGGTAAATTCCATGTGTGTTTCAGAAATACTTGCAAAATGTGACGAAGAAATATTTCCGTTAATCGATCGCCTTTTAACTCTTCCCATAAGCAATGAAAGTGCTGAGAGAACGTTTTCAACACTACGAAGACTCAAAACATGGCTGAGATCAACAATGTCGGAGACCAGATTAACTGGACTTGCTCTTTTAAATATCTACCGTGATATTGATGTAGACGTGAATAAAGACATTGACATGTTTTCAAAAACCAACAGAAAATGAGATTTTGCTCTATAATTTTTATTTTTATTTCATATTTAATATTTTTTGATTGTTCTTAAATAAAGAGTTTTCTTTTCAATGTACCTACCTACCTACGGTTTTTTATATTTGTAGTTAGAAGTTTATTTCTTTACAGTGTAAAGAAATATTTACATGGTAAATATGGTACCTAATAATTATAATATAATAGAATTATTAAATTGTATGTATTATATTATGTCCAAATATAAAATGCCCCCCCCTAATAATTGATCTGGATCCGCGCCTGAGTCGGTAAGTTAAAATATAGTTTAATTAATACAATGAATACATAAACTAGATTCGCTTTGCCATCGAACAAGATACTGAAGTTGAAAACCGAAGCATTGTTATTTATTACTGTCCCAAAAAGTGATGAGTAATGACAGACATAAAAACAAAAAAAAACACTCATTGTAAAACCAATACAGTCATCGCTCTACTGCCAAATTAAATGTACTAATTTATACATTTTTAAATTTTTTGAAAGAATAATAATCCAATTTTAGATTCTGAGCGAAACGATAAATGTATTGATTTTACAATGATGTGTGGTCTTTTATATATTTCTTTTTTTGTTTTGTGTGTCATCAAGGTTTGGGGCAGTAAAAGTGATTCCATTTCTTTCAATAGCAATTTTAAAAATGACCACATATGAAATTTTCGATTATTATTTGTTTTATTTTTAAGCTACTGTAAATAAAATTTTTTTCGCTCATTCAAAAAACTTGAAAATGTAATACAAGGTTCGTCTTAAGTTGTTGTTATTGTTTATTTAATTTAAAAAAAGTTTATCATAAGTCCACGATACATTTTTATGTGCAAAATTCGTAAAAATCATGAAAATTAGCACATCATTTTGAGTTTAAAATCGGTACATAAAAAAAAATTTAAGAAACTAAAAAATCTAAAAAATATATAAATTCAATTATTTTTTACTCACATTTTAAGTTCAAATTTGAACAAAATTGCAAAACGATTTTTGTCATTTTGTTGTAATTTGGTTCCAAGACAGCCGAATTTTACAGAAGCATATTTAATATTTTTCCAGCATCACTGATAATTTGAGAATAATATTATGAATAATATCAATTCAACTTACCGGTTACTGTATTAATAGTAAGTAATAACAATATAAAATGTTCTAGACTGACATATCAGTTCGTGTCGAGACACCGTACAGTCCACACGTATATTTATCGTTCGCCACTCCGCTTTTATCTGCTTCCGATAGCAAAGTCATTAGTGCTCGCTGCGGTCCCCAGCGTTAATCGCGGGTCCTCAAATTACTGGTAATGTATAAACATACTTATCTACCTAGACCACTCATTATATCAATTCTCGATACCTTATCTACGTCATTATGAATTCTCGTAAAAGCAATCCCATAAGTCCAAAATTTAAAACCAATAATGAAACTAAAATAAAAAAAACGCCACCAACGATAAAAATACCAACATCATTATCAAATCAAACAGGCGACCTTTCCCCATTAGACTTCTCAGACAATGAACAAGACTGGCAAAACAGTCACATCAGTTTCAACCAAACGCGTAAGATCTCCAGGTCACGCCACATCTCCACTTTCAAAAAAAGACACGACCATCTTCATCTCCGCAAATCGTTTCTCTCCTTTAGACACTCCTAAAGACGATACAGAAATGGTCACTGAAGTCACTGAACAACCGAGGACACCTACCGTTCAACCGCAGACATCTACCGTAATCAATCCTCCAAACCCACCGCCGATATTCATCGAATCGGAGCTTAATTTCAATAATTTTATTATTAAAATTAACGAACTAACCAAGTCCTCTCGTTTTGAGTGTAAAGCTTCTTCCAAAGGCCTGACATTACAAACGTTCAACTCGGATTCATATAGAGCCGTTGTAAAATACCTTAGAGACAACGAAGTCCCCCACCACTCCTTCCAGAACAAAGAAGATAAACCATACAGAGTAGTGATTAAAAATCTTCACCCATCAACAGATATTTCATACATAAAAAGTGAACTTTCAGCTCTAGGCTTCCAAGCAAGAAATATAAATAATGCACGTCATAGAAAATCAAAATTGCCCCTCCCAATATTTTCTATTGATTAGAACCTGATTCAACCAATTCTGCAATCTTTAAATTAACCTCTCTCTGCTTCACAAAAATTAAAGTCGAAGCTCCGTACCCCAAAAAAGACATTCCACAATGCCTCCGTTGTCAATCTTACGGCCACACACGTACGTACTGTAGCCACCAACCTAGATGCGTTCGCTGTGGCGATCTGCACGACACTTCTTTATGTCTGAAAAATCGAAACGAACCTGCCAAATGTGCCTTATGTGGTGGCCCGCACCCAGCAAATTATAAAGGTTGTACTGTCCATAAGGACATCATCAAAACACGAAAGCTCCAGCCTTCTAATCCCTGGCATAAGAATACTTCAAATTCTCAAGAACCGGTCACTTCTTCCAACATTCAAAAACCAAGCCAGGCTGACTTCCCTCCACTCCCGAAAATCAATGAACATACTAATCTCCCGCAGAATACATCTTCCCCCACCCAACCTGCCTCAAGCAATATCAACGAACAACTCTCCTCTTTTATAAATGATTTTAGATTATTAATCAATCCATTAATTTCACTACTCACAACACTCATTGACAAACTCATAAATAACAATGGCCGCCAATAAATTATCCACTCTAAGCATTCTTCTTTGGAATGCTAACGGAATCTCTAACAATATAAATGAACTTCAAATCGCCCTAAAAGAAAACAATGTAGATATTGCCCTCATTACGGAGTCTCATCTCACCTCCAACTCAAAATTTAAAATATTCGGATACGACTGCCTTCAAGCAAATCACCCTGACGACTCAGCCCACGCTGGTGCTGCTCTTCTAGTTTCTTCCAAAATCCCACACTCTCCTTTTCCTCCTAAATCAAATCCAAACATGCAACTAGCCGCTACATCTGTAAATATAAATTCCATACCTACTTCAATAATATCTGCTTACTTCCACCCCAGCTGCCAATTCCCTGCAGAAAGTTTAGCCCTTTATCTTCAATCACTTAACAACACATATATCATCGGCGCTGATTTCAACGCTAAACACGAAGCCTGGGGCTGCCGCTCAACGAACACAAGAGGCCGCACCTTGTTCAACTTTATCACAAACAAACGCTCCAAAATTATTTCTCCAGTCTCTCCCACCTATTGGCCAACTCACATAAACAGACATCCTGACTTCCTTGACTTCTTCCTCTCCAACTTACCAAATCACATTCAAACTATTATCACAAATTTAAACGATCCAGCCTCTGACCATACTCCAGTCATACTCAAAATACGAGCCTCCATCGACTTTTGCCCGCTCATTAAAATCCGTACCGACTGGAACAAGTTCCGTAATACCATGTCAACTCTCTCCTCTCTTAATATTAGTTTAAAAAACTCTGAAGATATCGACAATGCGGTAAGCATCATAACAAAGCATATTCAAGACACCATCCAAGCATCTTCCACAACTCATCCAGCTCAAGATAATCACAACATTAATACCACGCCCGAAATAAAAGAGCTTATCCGGCTTAAACGCCGTGCACGGAACACCTGGCAACGATCCCATTACCCAATCGATAAGCAACGATACAACTATTTCTCGAACAAACTTAAATCAACTCTTAAGAAGCACAGAAATCACTTATATGCCACCCACCTCCAATCTCTCTCTCCCTCAAACGGTTCGCTGTGGAAAAAAACCAAATCACTTCTAAAACACAAAACTGTCATTCCCCCTCTTCGCTACCAAAACAAGAACCTTGCTATCACTCCTCAAGAAAAATCTGAGCTTCTGGTTTCCCACTTAGCAAACACATTCAAACCCCACAACATCTCTCCAGACACTCCTCATCTACTTCGAGTGGAAGAATTCATTTTATCACCTCTACCAATGGCTCTACCAGCATCGCCTACGTCACCCGGAGAAGTTCTTTCGGTTATTAAAAAAACTGAAGAAAAACAAATCACCAGGCCACGATGGCATAAACAACTCAACAGTCAAGAACCTACCACCAAAAACCATTATCCTCCTCACATATATTTTTAATGCTATTTTCCGACTGTCCTACTTCCCAAACTCCTGGAAATCAGCCATGATAATAACCATCCCAAAACCTGGAAAACCTCCTGACACTCCAGAATCCTACAGACCTATTAGTCTCCTTCCCACACTTAGTAAAATATTTGAGAAAATCCTTCTCAAGAGACTCACTGCCATCGCTATAAAGCAAAATGCTCTTCCCGATTTTCAATTTGGCTTCCGCGCCAATCACGCAACGTTCCACCAACTACACAGAGTAGTGGACTATATCGCTTCAACACTCGAAACAGTCGAAACTAAAAAATATTGTTCCGGTCTTTTCCTCGACGTGGCTCAGGCATTCGATACCGTGTGGCACGACGGCTTGTTATTCAAACTCAAAAACATCTTCTCGGCGCCATACTACTTACTTCTCAAATCCTACCTAAGCGACAGAAGCTTCAGAGTTAAAATAAATACAACACTCTCCAGTTTGCAAACAATCTCTGCAGGCGTCCCACAAGGCAGCGACATCGCTCGCTCCTTTCCTCTATACTCTATTCACAGCAGACATCCCTACCTCAGCCAGTACCCTTATCGGGTCCTACGCCGACGACACAGCCGTACTCTCCTCCAGCCACGACATTCATGAAGCAAATATCCGACTGCAAAACCACCTGGACCACCTCTCCCACTGGTTCAAGTCTTGGAAAATCAAAGTCAATGACTCCAAATCAGCTCATGTCACATTTGCACTCCGCCCGGGAGTTCCACCCCCTTTAACGTTCAACAATGAAATCATTCCTCAGTCTAATTAAGCAAAATACCTCGGTCTAGTCCTCGACAGAAGACTTACCTGGGGCCCTCACCTCAAACAGAAACAGAAACAACTGAACAGCCGCCTGC